AACGTGTAAATTCTGCCCAAATTGTCGGCGTTACGATCCAAACCAAAATGAATTGGAATGAACACGTTAATAAAATTGTTAAGAAATCTGGGAAAATATTGTATATGCTTAGGTTATTGAAACGAGCCAACGCTGACACTAGAATGTTATCCATCGCATTTACCACTATTATAAGGCCAGTCTTAGAATACGCTTGCCAAGTTTGGCACTTCAACATTCCAGGTTATTTGAGTGATGATATTGAATTAAAGGGTTCAAAGAAGAGCTTTGAGAATTATTTTACCAGAACTTAGCTATAACGATGCACGAGAACTTATTAATATTCCATCCTTGAAGGAACGACGTGAGATTTTATGCGAACAGTTCTTTTTGAGAGATGAGAACCTTCAAAAATTGGATGAATTTTTACCTAATAAATCCTCTTCGGTCTATGATACGAGGGGAAATTGTAAATATAATAATTATTATTGTAAAACAGAACGTTTTAGAAATCCTTCTTACCACAAATTATTTCGAAATTAAATTGTAAATAGTAGTTTACTCCTTTATATTTAATTATTTGTAGTATAGCTGATGTAATTTAACCTTCGGTTACAAAATCAGTAAATATATTTAATAATAATAATAATAATAATTTATTTATTTATATTTATATATACAACTTCGCCATTTAATAATTTTACACAATGACATGTATACGATACGATACCAAAACGATACAATACAAAAGAAAACGATACAATCGAACACAAGACAGTACAGTATATATATATATATATATATATATATATATATATATATATATATATATATATATATATATATATATATATAAACAATAATAATACTTGAATGAACCATTGGGCATGTAGAATTTAATAACAATTTCATATATACAAATAAGTCAATTTTTGTCCCAATTATCATTTTAATGGCACCTTCAGGGCTATGTTCACAGAACTGAATAATCTGCTGATGGGAGTTTGGTTGACATTTTTGTTTAATGCGTATGTATTCGTCTGCTTCAGATGACACCATTAATTTCTAATGACTAAGATTGTACTCTGTCAGAACTGCAAAGCTATATAATAGGAAATAATTTGTGAGCATTATGCAATTATCGAAAAAATAGAGTGTACCCTAAAATGTACTGACACAGGCACACAACCAGGGTGAATATATGAATGTAGGCCGGTAGGATTATTTCATATTTATGCTAACAATGGACATATCTCAGAGATATATTTTTACAGACCGCCATAACTTGTACAAAAATCGGTTGACATGTTATATTAATACATGTAGGCTATTAAACTGCACGTATAAAGTTAATATATGCAGACAACAATCCACACTGTCGTCTGTCGCTGGGTTATTAACTGCATGGGTTCAATATGGCAGGTTGCTATGGGAAATATCTTTACATTATAAAGTATAAACAACATTCAGCGTTTGTTTTTAAAACGTTCTGAAAGAAAATTGCTATGTCTATGAACATCTAGAATGAACACTAAACTCATCACCTTCATGGCACATCGCCACACAAACAAATATAAAACCAAAAGTACATCATTTTGACTCCTAATATAAATGCCTTCATGCATAAATATCGCCAGAAAGAAATAAAGCTATCCTTACCTGAATTATTCAAAATATTGTCGATTTGTGAAAATCCAACATATATCATGCGAGCGCAATAAAAAATAAATTTTGACCGCCTCCCTCGTTTAAAAACACTTCCTGAAGCCTTAATTATTTCCCCGGAATTACGACATCTTTACATACAAACAGACAGACACAAATTCTCAAATCGAAATCTCGATCGACTATACATAACTCGGCCAAAGAGACTGGACACAAGTAAACACAGACACGCAATACTTCATGCTAAGAATAGTGTGCTGCCTTCGGCAGCAATTATTCTTTACACGAACGTATATTAAGGTGGAATTAATATTTGAATGAAAGCAATTAAAATCAATAAATTTATCTTTTCTATTGTTTTTAAAAGGCTATTTAATAAAGGAAATAGAAAACATTTTTTCCGTGTTTCTATAGAGTTTATAAAAACACTTGTGAAAGTTTGGGAGAAACTCAAAAGTGCGCGGAAACACTCGCACTTCGTGCTCGTGTTCCCACCCAATTTCTCGTTTCTCCCAAACTTTCACCCGTGTTTCTATAACTCTATAGAAACACGGAAAAACGTTTTCTATTTCTTAATTGTGAAATTAAACGTCTGTCAATTTAGGTCTTTGTAGACCGCAAGCATCCTCGTTCCCAGGGCTTCTCGGCTGCCTGCGTTGCCGTAAGCCCTGGGACAAGCCAAACCGGAACACCACAAATTCTGGTGTTTTCCGGAAGTAAACGCGCTCTGCTGAAAGCTAAAATGCTGACTATGCACTAATTCTTACTGAGGAGTGGAGACGTGTTGGTGAGCAGAAAATATTGGATTTTTCTTTTGTTTCGATGTATTTTCCACCATCAAGGGATTATATACAGACCACCTAATGGAATTATACATATTGGGGGTTTATATTTCGTTATATCGTTAATATTCGTCAAAATACAACCATATTTCGGTCTCGTATTACATGTATCAATTTTCATGTATGATGTAAACATGATCGAGTCGAAATGTGCTCGAAGTGGCCGCTGTGATTCGAAACATCATGGGTTCTTGTACAGATGACCTGTTTCAACACGCGCTTGTAAAGTCACTTCAAAAGACTGGACAAAGCCGGACTGGAAATTAAAGAGAAGTAATTCGAATCTTTATCGTCTATCGTATGTATATAAAAGGAACAAGAACGACATATGACATGTCTAAACGGCGGCGTGTGTCTGTTTACTGGGTTACAACAACGGCAATAACAATGAATCACCTAACATTTCAAGAAAATATACATTATAGATAGATGTCATGCATGACCCCATGAGTTTTGGATTTGAATTGCTAGATTTAAATCTATATTATGTACACAAAATCATGCGTGCGTAAATTTGAGCAAAAAAGCACAAGGTGTTTGTTTGGCCATATGCCCATAATGTAGTATGAATATTGAACACCGTTTTATATAGCATCGGATAATCCTGAATCCTTCACCGATTACATGCGTGGCAAATTGCGAAAAATAATTATGTAAAATAATTAACCTAATATGTCTTTGGCCATGAATGCAACTCACTATGCTGCTTTATACATTTGACAGTCAAAACTATGTGCATGACTGTATGGCCCAATGTATGTTAATTGTTTCAGGGAAATTTTTGTGTTCAGATTAAAGTATAACAATATTTTCTGCATTCCAATATATTTTTTACATGTGCATGCAAGTGCACATTCTGTTTCAGATAGGGGCCAAATCATTTGAGGCCAAATGGGATGGCCAATGATTGGAGGGTCGTGTTAGCAAATTTGACTCTCTTACATAATGTCAAGTTATCACTGGTCAATTTTTAAATTTCTTACAATTATTTCACATCATGGAGTTCATTGCCCCCCCCCACCCCCATTATCCAGAAGTGTGACTAAGCATTTTCTAGTATCAATCCAGGTGTCCAATTTAAATCTCCACCACAACAGGATGTATACCTGAGTGATGGTAAGGGAGGTGGGGTTAAAATTCTGATTTATCAGTATATTACTACACATTTCCACATTAAAAATATGAAAAGTTTTCAAGTTCAATGTGTCTATATAGCAGGAGGCTTAAACCAGAATTTCAGAATACAAAGCAACTTTTATGTCATATTTGTAATGGTTTGTTTAAAATCAATTTTTATACAGACATGGTAGGGTGTCTCCTGGCTAGAAGCCTGCATACACATATACAAATTTTCAGTTTTGTCAATAATAATAGTTTATTTTATAATTTCAATTCTTACAAGATTTGCAATAAGTCAACAGAATAAGTATTCTATTCTGAACTGTTGACAGGAAACAGTGTAAATTCATGATCTCTTCCAATATGACACAGGAATTCGAGACCCCCACCTCGGGCATACCAGGGGCATTCACTTAATTTGGTGTGTGAAATTCAGTGAAGTCCCCTGCAGCCAGAACAAAATGTCAAGGTAAATTTCTTCGGTCCTATCATCCCCAGGTATTCAATTGGAATTTTTACTTGAAATTTCCCAAACCATTCCTTTACTGTTCTGTAAAAGCCTTTCCTAGCCGACTGCTTTATTTCAGCATTTATATAAAAGACTAAGCCTTTCCTAGCCGACTGCTTTATTTCAGCATTTATATAGCCAACTGCTTTATTTCAACATTTATATAAAAGACTAAGTGACCCTCCCCCCCAATGACCACATTTATTCCTGACTTGGACACTGAAAGTACATGTCTTCCCTGTTTGCCAAGAAATGATAAACCAGTGAATAAGAGGCGATTGTCCTTGCATTCCCCTCTGGTTGTATGCCAAAGGTGCAAGGATTCAAATGACTGGTGCAATTGAATATGCTTATAAGCTTATTCACTGTATTTAATTAAAAGCTATTAAAATTACTCACTAATAATACAACTGAGAAAATTCAGAAATAGTAAAATACACCTATAATATTCTATATGCTATATTTAAAAATTCCAATTGGCCATTTTAATATAGGGCCATTTTAATATAGGGCCATTTTAATATAGGCGGGTAATAGGCCAAGTGACCAATACCAAAAGCATAATAATTAATAAAACACAATATATTACACCATTAAAACTTTACTATCGTAAATATATATTATTAAACATTTTACATTTACAGTGTGCTTAAAATTTTACAATTATACTTGAGCACAATGTTTTAATAATAGGCAACTTTATAACAAGAAAATGTTAAAATGAAGAAACTTTTTAATGGCTTCATAATTGACGTTTCTTCGATATTGTTGCTTACTTCTACTTTATAATTGTCCATTTTGTTATTTTCTTTCTTTCTGTTTGCAAATTATCTCCATTAATCCATAGAAAACAAGCAGTGTACGTTTGTATTTCTTCGTATTTCGAACGCGCACTCCTTGAAGGCAGCCATATTGCCGAATATAAACATCCACTTGATGAATAAACTTTTCATACTTCACTCTATTTCCAACGACCAATCAAATCACTTCTGCTTCAGCTTATCCCAGGCACAGTCCCAGGGCTTACGGCAACGCAGGCACCCTGGGAACGAGGATGAGTCT